TTTTGCATAAAACTGATAGTTTTCGAAAATAATGAGATAAAAGAAAAGATCCTCTCTCTTTGCACTAAGAAACATAAAAGAAAATATTAATATATTCTTCGTTCTCAACCAAGCCCGGAGTCAACGACTAGGACGTGACGAAGAACTGACTCCATTTTTTTTTGTTTTTGTTTTTATACTTTTTTTTGTATTTTTGTATTTTTTAAATTTTTTTTTACATTTTTAATTTTATTTTTTAACGCTTTTTTATTTTTAAAAACTTATATAACGCTAAATATGTTATTCCTTTCCCGGATAACATCTTTTAATGTCAATAAGCAATTGCTTGAAAGGATCTTGATCTAATCTTCGAAGTCGACGACGTCACATAAATTCGCACAAATGATCAGCGATAGAATTATTGTGAACACCACCGCGAGATAGTTCACGACGCATCCAGCGCCAAGAGGACTTAATATTCTGAGTATAAGCCCCAGTTTCCGGATCTACGAAAAACTCAGAATGATTCACCGTTTTGTGGTCATAACCGTGGTGTTTCAAGTCGATATATCCTTTCCAACAATCCGTATGGATCTCAGTTCCAGGCATCACATGTTTTTTTATTAAAGTTATAAGAGTATCTTTATCTCTCTTGTTGTCCGGGCAAATTTCGAGCCGATAATTAGTAGCGTGTCCACGATGAATCATTCCGAGAATCCACGATCCCTCAACAACACGCTCCCGTTCGTACTTCCGACGACCAATCTTACACTCATCAATTTCGACTATTTTACCAACACCTCCCAAAAGACCTGAAACTGCTCATCAAGTGCAGCCATACAAACTCTCGACAAAAAGAAAATCTATCGGCTATAGTTTCACGAGATATCTGCTGTCCATCAATAATACTGCTTTCTCGAATCGTTTGCTCAAACGACATATTGACAGAAAAACAGTACGTTATAAGAATACATGCCGCAGGAGAAATATGACACCTCTCGAACCATGTATCCTCGGCAACAGTCGCAGTATGTCGATACTTTCCTTTTTTCATGCAAAGGAATCTTCCGCATTCAAGATCAGATTCTAACAAATCCATATATTTTTTATGATGACTGCAAAATCTTTGCGTTGGAATCAAACCAACTTCCCTCAACCATCGAAGAGTTGATGAACGATTTTGAAAAATAGATGCCAATAAAAACAAATTGTATGTTTTATCCATTTTTTCGTAAATAAGAAAATTAAAAGAAACAATCTTATTAATTAGGCTATAAAACTTTTACTAGAAAATTACGCTTTGCATAAATAGTCGCAAACCCATATAAAACCGTCTATAATTATAGACCTAATTTTGCATCCAAAGCACCGAGCGATGAGGGGTAGACTTTATTTTGCACAAAGAGTTGCAAACCCATATAAAGCAGTGTAACAAATTTTATATCCGAAGCACCGAACGATTGGAAGTAGGCGTTGCTTTGCATGAAAAGTCGCAAGACTTGAGCACGCAGAAAGTTTATATTTATTAAATCTTCGCCTTACTAAAAATCTGATGAGTCTCAAATATACTAAAAATAGATACAGAAAATATTAGTAAGACCCCTACGCAAGGTGTGTGTGCATATAGAATTTATATTTATTAAATCTTTGCCTTACTAAAAATCTGATGAATATAAAATATACTAAAAATAGATACAGAAAAGATTAGCAAGACCCCAACGCAAGGTGAAAAGCATATTATGTTTAAAAGTTATTTTAAATTTTTATGATAAATATTAGCTATATCATAGGCGAGGGGACTTCGCCCCCCTTGCACCCCTCCTTTTCCTGCTCCTATGTTTGCCCCTGGGGGGGCGAAGCCCCCCGAACCACTCTATAATATGCCCCCGAGCTACTTTGTTCCCAAGTCGTTTTAACCTCAAAGTCTTTTGTCCAAATTGTTTCATCCCCAGAGTTTTTTCGAAGAAGCTTCTGTGTACAACTGAACGATGTGCGACTTTCCGTGTATACCTGAGCGGTGTGCAACTTAGCAGTGTGCAAATAATTGGTGTCCAAGTACGCCACTCCCAACTTAACATATACGTCATTTACCTATTTACCACAAATTTTAGTCTTTAACGTCGATTTTCTCGAAAACTTTTAATTTTACGCAAAAAATATATAGAACATAAATGATATATTTTTACAAGAACTACAACTTTTATTTGAAACATTTTTTTGATACATGAAAATTTATCGAAATAATGTCAAAAAACTGATATTTTTCCAATTTTTTGGAGTTTTGACCTTGAAAATGATCTAGTCGCAAATTTTCATTATCATATTCGTAATCAGCGCTCAAAAATACAAAAAATAGTATAGTCTCAAAAAAATCGGAGGGTTCACCTATTTGGAACTCCACCCCGGCATTGTTATACGGCAAACTAACCTCTCCTCAAATGTCCTATATTTTATAAATGTTTTATGCATACGTTTTACAATGCCAAACTTTATATAATCTCTTATAATTTCGATTTTTTTTCATGATTTATAATTATATTTCTTTGAGAAACTATGCAGACAGCACAAATGTCGGAAGTCGGGATATAAGACGTCTTTTAGACGTCTTGAAGTTATCTTTCAGATGTCGCGATATGAGATGTTTTTAAGATGTAAACCAGCAAAAATTTAGGCTTGCGCAAGTGAAAAAGTAAAAAACAAATAAATATATAAGTAATGGGCCAATTACAAGCCAAAGACTGGGTGATGAATGTCGACTAAATTATCTTTTCAAACTTTACTCATAGACGTATTGATGTTTAATCATCTATAATTGTAATAATACCTCATGTACAAATCCAAACGTTTCGGTCGTCATTCGACCCTCATCAGTGGTCTTAGTAAGAGAGATTTCTTAGGATATATATAAATTTTTAAGATGTTTTTAAAACATCCAAAAGACGCCTTTTAACCTGATTTTAGACATTGTGTTATCTGGATATAGCTTAATAATATGTTTTTATTTTTATAACAAGATTCATCTAATTTTATTTTTTTAACAATATTCATTTAATTTATAAACTGGCAGTGCAATATATATGATAATTATATTGATATTTACTACAAACTTACTTATTACCCAGTAAGCAAATTGAGCGCAGACTGCGCGCAAATTGACAGCAAATTTGATCAAAAATCCACAGCAAAACCATAGCCATCTGTGTCTACGTTAGGCTACGGTTTTGGCGACAGATCTTGCTGTCGGGTAATTGGTGCCAAATTTGCAGCAAAAACCGCGCAAAGCTTGCAGCGCAGCAAGGTCTGCGTGGTTTCTGCCGCCAATCTGCTGTCAAATCGCTACAAGCTCTGCGCGGTTTTTGCTGCAAATCTGCAGCAATTATCCGACAACAAGCTTTGCCGCATGTCTGGCGGCAATTTGGCAACAAAATTTGATATAACAGATCCTGCATCAAATTTGTTATCTATTTGCCATCAAAAGTTGATAGCAAGCTCTGCTCGAAATCTGTTTGCGCAGATTTGGCTATCTGAGTACAGATATCTTTATCTATCTGGAAAATTATTAAGTGTGCAAGCTGTTGGAACAGCAAACGAGCAACGAAACAGCGACAGTTATTAAGGTAAGTTTTTTCTTTGATTTTATTTCATGTAAATATTTAAAAATATTTGATGTTCATCTAACATTTTAATTTGTAAAATTAGATGCACATTAACTATTCTGCTTTGTTTTGCTTGTGAGATTATATTATTGATATTTTTTTTCTTATTCTATTTAGTTGACTTTTATATTTTAAATATATTAAATATATAATATTTCTATATATTATAAAATAAAATGAATGATTCTAAGAAACCATTTTAGTTTCTTAAAATTTATTTGTTGATATAACAGCAACAGGCTCAGCAACAGCTATAAAATGTCAAAAAAAAGATTCTGTGAATTATCGCGTAGGCAAAGAAATCGCCGATTAAAGCAAATGCATATTTCTAAAAATTTCGTTCCAGAAACTATTACAAATTTAAATGAAAAAGCAAATAATTCTTTCAGGAATTTGAATGAAAAAGCAAGCAATTCTTTCATTTATCCGAAAATATCTAATCAGGATTCTCCATTTATTCTTGATAATAACATTTATAATAATTATTTTGAAAGAGAAATGGAATATGAAAAAGAACATCTAATGTCTAATAATAAACAAATGTCATTCCATGAAAAATCAATACTTTGGACTGATAAACATAAAATTGAACAAAAAAGTTTAACTTCTTTACTTAAAATATTAAAAAGTGAAGATCACGATAATCTCCCAAATGATGGCAGAACATTGATGAATACTCCACGTTATACTACAATTTACAAAAGATCAGGTGGAAATTATTTCCACTATGGTTTGCAAAACGGGATAATTGACCAATTAAAACAATTAAATACATTAATTAGAAATAATATTATTTACATTAATATCAATATCGATGGTCTTCCTATTTCTAAGAGTTCTAAAAGTCAGCTATGGCCTATTTTAGCTCAAATCATTTCAGAAAATTCTGTACCTTTTCTTGTCGGCGCATATCATGGATATAACAAACCAACAACATTTAACAATTTTTTACAGCACTTTGTCAACGAATTCAAGCGATTAAATGCAGTCGGTTTTACATATGAAAATAATATCTATTACGTTAAAATGAAAGCAATCATATGCGATAGTTCTGCACGATCATTTGTAGCTTGCACGAAAAGCCATAATGGTTATTTTGGATGCAGTAAATGTACTGTAGAAGGAAATTATGAAAATCATCGAATGCTTTTTCTAGATCAAAATTGTCCTCTGCGAACAGATGAATCGTTCACTCTGCGTGAAAACCCAGAACATCATACTGGAATATCTCCTTTTGAAAAAATTTCTTACCAATGATTACTACTTTTCCGCTTGATTATATGCATTTGATATGCCTCGGTCAAATGAAAAAACTGTTGATTTTATGGTTAAGAGGATCTATTCAAATTAAATGTCGATTATCCAGTAAGCAAATAAAAAATTTAGTTTCAGATATGCTTGATCTAAAAAAATATGTTTGTTCTGAATTTGTCAGAGTACCAACTACTATCGAAGAATTGGATAGATGGAAAGCTACCGAATTTCGAATTTTTCTATTGTATCTTGGTCCTATTTTGTTGTATAAATATTTTCCATATGATTATTTAAAACATTTTACTGCATTTCATTGTGCAATCAGAATATTATGTGATTCCCAAGATTATTTAAAACATAATGAGTATGCAAAGGAACTTTTACTCTATTTTGTTCAATATTATGGAATTTTATATGGTACAAATAATATGAATTATACTGTACATAATTTAATACACTTAAGTGACGATGCAAAACGATTTGGACCGTTGGACAGTTTCAGTTGTTTTCCTTTCGAGAATCATTTGTACAGCTTAAAAAAATTGTTGAGAAAATATGAAAAACCTTTGTCACAAATACATCGTAGAATAATTGAAAAGAATACAGCAAATAAATATAAGCAAAATAATAATATAGTGAAATATCCCATATTAATTTCACAAAAAAAAACATATATTCCCTTTGGATGTTTTCAAAGTTATAATTCGTTGAAATTTCGTGATTTTATATTATCCTGCTCTTCACAAGCAGATCGTTTTTGCTTTCTAAAAAATAATAAAGTTTTGAAAATAAATTTTATCGGATTGCAAAATAAGAATCCTGTCATAATTGGTCAAGAATTTAAAAATTATTCTTCTCTCGAATTTTATCCTTGTAATTCACAAAATATGAATGTTTTTGAAGTTGATAATAATTTTAACGAAACTAATATACTTTTCTGTGAACGAAATTCTAAAGAAAGCTGTACTGCTTCCATATAAAAAGGACAAATTTTGTGTCTTTCCACTTCTACATTCAGATTTAACATCAGGTATATAAATTGATGATAGCACAAAATTAGTTCTTAATTTTTTATATTTTTATTACTTTTAACTTTACTTTGCTTTTTCAGATGTTTTACGTTACGATTGGTGATAATTGGTGCTCAGTAGTACCACAGTCATGGATTAATATTGACCAGAAATTATGTGCATGGCCAGGACATGGTATTAATGTTTCAAAAGCAGTAAAGAAATCGTTACCTGCACAAGCTTCATGGAAAAGCATTCCGTATAAATATCTCCTAGGACCATTTGGTAAAAATAACAATATATAGATTAAATCATTTTTTTGCTAATTATTATTTATTCCTTATATTTTCCATCATTTTTCAAGGGTCATTTGAAGAGGCTAAAAATAAAGAGAAGGATGCAGAATTTGTGTCGTCAGATGATGCAAAAATGAAAGCTCTTCAAAATCAAGAAAATATTCTTCCTTTGAAAAGAAAAAAGAAACCTAAAGTTTACAGTAGTTCAGATGAAATAGAGTCATTTGATGCAGATTTGATTCCTAGTATATGCTTTTCTTTTATTGAAATCGTTAAATATGTGTTTCAAATATGCATATGTTTTTTTGTTATTAGGTGCGCAACTAAGTTCCCGCTGTTTGTCAATAGATGGCTCCAGCAGTAAGTGCTGGTCGATTTTGACATATCCAAAACGTCATAAACCAAGCTTAGACATATGGTAAACAAACCGCTTTGACACGTTAGTGATTTTGTTTTGGCGTCATATACTTTTGGTTGTGTGAAAATGTCTGATTTTGTGCCAAATAATCGTCATTTGCGGGAAGTGTTGATTTTCTTATTTCATTCGAAGAAAATGGCGGCTGAAGCGCATCGAGAGCTCCAAAAAGGAGCTTTACGGAGATGCTGCTCTAAATGAAACAACGTGCCGTGATTGGTTTCGTCGCTTCAAAGACGGTGATTTCGATGTTGACGACCGTCCGCGTGAAGGAAGGCCAAAAACCAAAGAGTCATTTAATGATATTAATATGGGATATTTCACTATATTATTATTTTGCTTATATTTATTTGCTGTATTCTTTTCAAATATTCTACGATGTATTTGTGACAAAGGTTTTTCATATTTTCTCAACAATTTTTTTAAGCTGTACAAATGATTCTTGAAAGAAAAACAACTGAAACTGTCCAACGGTCCAAATCGTTTTGCATCGTCACTTAAGTGTATTAAATTATGTACAGTATAATTCATATTATTTGTACCATATAAAATTCCATAATATTGAACAAAATAAAGTAAAAGTTCCTTTGCATACTCATTATTTTTTAAATAATCTTGGGAATCACATATATAATATTCTGATTGCACAATGAAATGCAGTAAAATGTTTTAAATAATCATATGGAAAATATTTATACAACAAAATAGGACCAAGATACAATAGAAAAATTCGAAATTCGGTAGCTTTCCATCTATCCAATTCTTCGATAGTAGTTGGTACTCTGACAAATTCAGAACAAACATATTTTTTTAGATCAAGCATATCTGAAACTAAATTTTTTATTTGCTTACTGGATAATCGACATTTAATTTGAGTAGATCCTCTTAACCATAAAATCAACAGTTTTTTCATTTGACCGAGGCATATCAAATGCATATAATCAAACGGGAAAGTAGTAACCATTGATAAAGAAATTTTTTCAAAAGGAGATATTCCAGTATGATGTTCTGGGTTTTCACGCAGAGTGAACGATTCATCTGTTGGCAGAGGACAATTTTGATCTAGAAAAAGCATTCGATGATTTTCATAATTTCCTTCTACAGTACATTTACTGCATCCAAAATAACCATTATGGCTTTTCGTGCAAGCTACAAATGATCGTGCAGGACTATCGCATATGATTGCTTTAATTTTAACGTAATAGATATTATTTTCATATGTAAAACCGACTGCATTTAATCGCTTGAATTCGTTGACAAAGTGCTGTAAAAAATTGTTAAATGTTGTTGATTTGTTATATCCATGATATGCGCCGACAAGAAAAGGTACAGAATTTTCTGAAATGATTTGAGCTAAAATAGGCCATAGCTGACTTTTAGAACTCTTAGAAATAGGAAGATCATCGATATTGATATTAATGTAAATAATATTATTTCTAATTAATGTATTTCATTGTTTTAATTGGTCAATTATCCCGTTTTGCAAACCATAGTGGAAATAATTTCCACCTGATCTTTTGTAAATTGTAGTATAACGTGGAGTATTCATCAATGTTCTGCCATCATTTGGGAGATTATCGTGACCTTCACTTTTTAATATTTTAAGTAAAGAAGTTAAACTTTTTTGTTCAATTTTATGTTTATCAGTCCAAAGTATTAATTTTTAATGGAATGACATTTGTTTATTATTAGACATTAGATGTTCTCTTTCATATTCCATTTCTCTTTCAAAATAATTATTATAAATGTTATTATCAAGAATAAATGGAGAGTCGTGATTAGATATTTTCGGATAAATGAAAGAATTGCTTGCTTTTTCATTCAAATTCCTGAAAGAATTATTTGCTTTTTCATTTAAATTTGTAATAGTTTCTGGAACGAAATTTTCAGAAATATGCATTTGCTTTAATCGGCGATTTCTTTGCCTACGCGATAATTCACAGAATCTTTTTTTTGGCATTTTATAGCTGTTGCTGAGCCTGTTATATCAACAAATAAATTTTAAGAAACTAAAATAGTTTCTTAGAATCATTCATTTTATTTTATAACATATAGAAATATTATATATTTAATATATTTAAAATATAAAAGTCAGCTAAATAGAATAAGAAAAAAAAATATCAATGATATAATCTCACAAGCAAAACAAAGCAGAATAGTTAATGTTCATGCTATCTAATTTTACAAATTAAAATGTTAGATGAACATCAAATATTTTTAAATATTTACATGAAATAAACTCAAAGAAAAAACTTACCTTAATAACTGTCGCTGTTTCGTTGCTTGTTTGCTGTTCCAACAGCTTGCACACTTAATAATTTTCCAGATAGATAAAGATATCTGTAATAAGTAAGTTTGTAGTAAATATCAATATAATTATTATATATATTGCACTGCCAGTTTATAAATTAAATGAATATTGTTAAAAAAATAAAATTAGATGAATTTTGTTATAAAAATAAAAACATATTATTAAGCTATATCCAGATAACACAATGTCCAAAATCAGGTCAAAAGGCGTCTTTTGGATGTTTTAAAAACATCTTAAAAATTTATATGTATCCTAAGAAATCTCTCTTACTAAGACCACTGATGAGGGTCGAATGACGACCGAAATGTTTGGATTTGTACATGAGGTATTATTACAATTGTAGATGATTAAACATCAATACGTCTATGAGTAAAGTTTGAAAAGATAATTTAGTCGACATTCATCACCCAGTCTTTGGCTTGTAATTGGCCCATTACTTATATATTTATTTGTTTTTTACTTTTTCACTTGCGCAAGCCTAAATTTTTGCTGGTTTACATCTTAAAAACATCTCATATCGCGACATCTGAAAGATAACTTCAAGACGTCTAAAAGACGTCTTATATCCTGACTTCCGACATTTGTGCTGTCTGCAGAGTTTCTCAAAGAAATATAATTATAAATCATGAAAAAAAATCGAAATTATAAGAGATTATATAAAGTTTGGCATTGTAAAACGTATGCATAAAACATTTATAAAATATAGGACATTTGAGGAGAGGTTAGTTTGCCGTATAACAATGCCGTTCTATGGTATGCAGCAAATTGACTCAAACCAAATAACAAATCGTTTAGCACGAATTAGCAAGAGGTAAATTTCTTACTGGACAAAGTTCTAATGCCGATTAAAACGAATAATGATTACACCTTACCTGAGTGAAAATTTATCGAAGAGAACTATTCCAGAAGCTGCCGTTCGATTGTTTGTTCGTTTCAATATGGCGGAATGGCTTGTGTTCCGCCAAGGCGGGATGACTTATTTAACAAAATGTACGGTTCAACAAAGAATAAAGGCACTGCGCACAATCACATTTGAACCGCTCGAAACGAAAAAAGGGCCAACGACCGTCATAACACGTCTGTGCTCGTTAACAACTCGCACGGAACTGTGGGATCGTTTCCGCAATATGCACCTTTAAGGCGTGTTTTTATAATTAATCAAGTCTCAAAAGTGATTTTCGAAGATATCTCATTTTATATTGCCTTTTTAACTAGACGAAAAGATATCTGCAAGGACAATATTTCACTATATCGAAAAGATAACTTAAAAAAATTTTGTTTTTTTGTTTTACCGAAAACCGAAAAAAGATAATAAAAAGACATCTTTTTTATGTTATCTTTTCGACAAGATGGAAAGATATCTGCAAAGACATCTTTTTGCTTTATCGAAAAGATAACTTAAAAACGATTTCTTTTCGTTGTCTTTTAGTGTTATGTGCTGTCTGGGTATTCTGTAAGTATTATTGATGTAAAACATTACTGAATTTGAAATACAAGTAACAAAAATAACTAGTAAATAAATAAAATATATTATATTCGTAATATTTTTTTAAATATTGCTGCAATATTGCTAAAGTAATATTGCAAATTAATGTCACTGCAAAGTCTCTGCAACATTGCACTGCAATATGCAATCTTGCAACGTTGTAGCAATGTTGCTGCAAGCTTCTGTGCTGTATGGGCATTGCTGAGATTCAAGCCTGAGACCTCTCCCAGGTTGACTTACGTCAAAATGACATCCAAATCTAAGTAAGTTCAGGATAAAAAATAACCAAGGAATGATCAAAAATATCGTGAGAATATCGTCAAAATGATAGTCTAATGTCACAGAT